TATATATTTTTTTACAATTTGTTTTGTAATGTTATTGTGTTTGTATTGACCAAAGTTTATGTAATTATAATGATGTAATGCTCTATTGCTCAATGTGGCTAATCTACTCTAGTTTGAACCCACCCAACTTCAATGGCACAGGACCGGTAATGGTCATCAATTGTTTTAAGGTCTTTCCTCAATAACTTCGTCCGTACAAAGTATAAAAATATTCATTTTTTTTTATTGAACATCAAGCATCTTTTTTTAATAATCTACCTATATTTTAAAAAATGGTTCTTGCGTATAGTGTTTCAACATATTTTGCGATATTCAGCCAAAAACGGCTTAATGATTTTCGGAATACAGGGCTCTTCTGCAAGGACTCTGATTTCATTTCTGGTTTCGCGTATGCAAAGTCCGTTTTTTATAGTTGTTTCTGTTCCCCTTGTATACGGCTTATAAACCTTTTATAAACAAACTAGTTTTTGCCCGCGACTTCGTCCGCGTGGAATAGTTAGTTTGGTATAACGCTAAATTTTACCCGTCTCTTCATTTACATAGAATATCATCTTTATAAAAACACCTTCACCAATAATTCTTTATTTTAGAACAAATTTGGTTAGCATAAAAACCTTTATAGAGAGCCAACCTTAACATATAGACATATGCTATCGCGGACTTTTTTTTAGATCTTTTAAAGGGGAACAACTCTCATTTTAACCTTTTCCGCAGCGCACGCAGTGGAAGCTCTCAAAAGGAGAAAAACCCCGATTTTGAAACATTCTTTATTGGTGCTCCGCTTGCATTGGTCTTAGCGTGATGTTACATAGCCTATAGAGCCTTCCTCGAGAAATGGGCTATATAACACTGAAAGAATGCTTCAAATCGAACCATTAGTTCCTGAGATTAGCGCATTCAAACAAACAAACTCTTCAACTTTATAATATTAGTTTTGACGAGACGCGTTAATTTTGTCATGACCATCGAAAAAGCTGTCTGCACTTGTTAGGTAAATATAACCTTGAACCCGTTAGATATCGTTCGGATTGTTTCTACGTATTCTTTGCACAGAAACTTGGAACTTTATTCACGATCGTCAGGTAACATAAGTAGATCGTTAACAGTACACGAGACAACAGTTGACACTCGTTACATTGGAACGTTAAATTGAAGAAGACATATATAAATAATTAATAAAAAAATACAAATAGCTATACGGTACTAGTACTCTGTGTTAATAATACAATCATCGAAACACCCCTTCAAACGGTTCTCCCTCTGACTAATCTTTAAATGAATAACGGGGAACACCGAACCAAATTTTCATATCGCATGCTCAACAGTAATACATAAACGTGCCGCTATAACATAAAATTATATAATAATAGTATTCAACAACTTTAATTTTGTTTTATCAACTAAAGTTTAGTCTTTGAAATAATCTAATAAGCATTAGTACATATTTCATTAAATGTATGTAGCTAGTTCGGCGATCATGCTATTATATTGTCTCATAAACATATGTCTGTACAAAATTCACTATACATCATTCGAAAGTGAGTTTGTTTGTTTGTTACGCTTAACTGCTCAACCGATCATCATGAAATTTTGGATACGCCTTGTGAGGGGTACAAAAATGGAGATGTAGGGGCGGCTTTTCATCCAGCAAAAAAAAAAAAGTGTGTGTGTCCGCTCCGACGCACGACTGGAGTTTACTGGATATAAAAAATTAAACGAAACAATACGAGAAATAGTTCTATATTACGACAACACGATACACTACAGATTTTTAACAAATTAACGAGACACAAAACAAACGACTAACAAATATATGAAAATACAATAATGAGAGAAACGCGCGATCAGTACGAGGCTTTGTGGCGGACTGCCGGCGCAGGCGCATAACGCATTTCGTGTGACATGCTAGTACGATTTTGGTCCCCATAATTTTCATACCCCGGGCCTATATATGTAAATCGATTCTAAAGGAGTAAAC